GTAAAAGGCCCTGGGGGGGCACTACTTGCCTAACTGAGGAAATGTAATGTGTAGCTCGTCAATAAATGTTTCAGCTTCCCCAGTGGTACATTAAGTGACTTCCTGAGGTCATTTCAGCTAGGGAAACTTCACGCAGGGTGTTAAAACGCCTTTCTCCACAAGCCATGGGTCCCGATCCAAGCGGGGGCCAGGAATCAAGTTCCAAGCATGGGAACTCGCAATAAGGATAGGACTCGGAATAATGGGTTTTAATTAAGGGTGGGATGGTACCGGCTGGGTATTAGGAAAAACTTTTTTACAGTAGGAGTTGTGCAGGGGGTGGATTCAGGAGGGGGTGAGCGCCCCCCCCCCCACTCACTGGCAGTCTTTAAGCAGCAGCTGGGCAAACACTAGTCAGGGATGCTTTAGGCTGATCCTGCATTGAGCAGGGGGTTGGACTGGATGGCCTGTATGGCTCCTTCCGACTCTGTGATTCCATAATTCTATGATTCTAACTCCCAGACCACATCAGTCAACCGGACCTGGGAATGTACCTGGGGAAAATATGTCGTTAGGCCCTCTGAATTATTAAAGCTCACTGGGTGACTTTGAACCAATCGTCGTTTCATAGCCCAGCCTACCCCATAGGGCTGTGGTGGGGTGAAAAATGGGAGAGGACTGCATGCATTGTCTTGAGCTTCTTGGAAGAAGTCGAGATGAAAAGAATCTTGATAATAAAGCATTCCACTGGTGCAGACAAGTATCCCAGACTCTCCTTCTGTTGAATTCTACCAGACTTAGAGCCTGCCCTCTTTTGAGGAGATTATCAGTGGGTGGATGTAAAAACTTTTGTGCATGCTTCTCCGAAAGGAAAAAAAATGGTTTTTCGGGGGAGGTTTGTTTGTTTGTTTGTTTTTGGAATTATGATGTTTACCTACAAGGCTGCATTGAAAAGCAGTGAAAGGGACTAGTTTTGGAGTCTGTCTAGAGAGAGGGAAAGCGCTTTTGTCAATTCCACTGTCAGTTTCCTTGCTGTTTCTTGCCTGCTGTGCACAGAGTCTAAATGATAGGCTCCTAGCACTAAACTTTTCAGCCCCTAATTGTCTTGTTGTGCAAGGAAATGGGGATTGAGGGAAGCAGCTTTTCAGGAGATAAATGTACACACCGGCACAGCAGATATCCAAGACACTCTGGCGTTCCCACGGATATTCAACATCATAGGGTGGAGCAGTGGGAAGGAAGAGACATATTCTGCAAAATTTGCTGTGGCTGCTTTTCAAAGATCGAGTGTATGGCAAACCCAGGCTTGCTTCCATGGAATGTATCAGTTTATTTCATGTATACTTTCTCCCCAATGGGGACCCAAAGAAGGTTATGTTGTTTTCCTGTCCTCCGTTGTAGCCTCACAACAACCTTATGAGGTCGGTTAGTTTGATGGTGTGACTGGACCAGTTTGGTGTAGTGGTTAGGAGTGCAGACTCTAATCTGGGAGAACCGGATTTGATTCCCCACTTCTCCACATGCAGCCGCTGGTGTGACCTTGGGTCAGTTACAAGTTACGTCAGAGCTGTTCTCTCATGAGCAGTTCTCGAAAGAGCTCTCTCAGCCCCACCTACCCCATAGGGTGTTTGTTGTGGGGAGAGGAATGGAAAGGAGATTGTAAGCCACTCTGAGACTCTGAGTGAAGGATGTGGTATAAATCCAATCTCCTCTTCTCCTCCGAGTGAGCTTCCATAGCAGAGCGGGGATTCAAACGTGGGCCTCCCAGATCCTAGTCCGACACTCTTAACCACTACACCACACTGGTTCCCAGATGAATGAACGTACAGTCTGTGAAGTGGATTACATATAGGCAGGCCTATTTTGGGGCAGGAAAGCACAGGAATGGAGTTCCGGCTGGTTCCTGAGCAGGCCACACCCAGCAGGAACTCATTAGCATAATAGGCCACACCCAACAGCAGAAACTCATTAGGATTGGCTACACTAGGGGTGTGTGGCCTAACATGCAAAGGAGTTCCTGCTACAAAAAAATCCCTCTGGGTTTTGACAACAAAGTAAACAGAATAAGAAGCAAAAGGTGGGTGTGGCTGGATGACCACACTTCTGGTAACATGGGGGTGCGGCCTAATATGCTAACGTGCTGTGCTGTCAAGGGTGTGGCCTAATATGCTAATGAGTGTCTGGTGTTGGGTGTGGCCTGTTATGCTAATGAGTTCCTGCTGGGCTTTTTCTACAAAAAAAGCCCTGCAGATAGGCAAAACTGCAGTGGGGATTTGTCGCAAATGAGTCTACCCGTTCGCTATGAGCTGAACTTGCAGTGCTTCAAAAATATGCTGTCCAGCCCAGCAGGCATTTTTTATTTTATTTTATTGGATTTGTATCCCACCCTCCCCGCATATCTGGCTCAGGGTAGGTTCCATCATAAAAACAATACAGGCAGTTAAAAAATAATTAAAATACGTCAATTAAAATACCATTACTGACGTGTCTAGCCAGCGCCTCAACAGATGAGGTCTAATATAATTTGGGTTCCAGATGATGAAACAGATCTGATGTACTGAAGGGGGGGCCTGATAGAATGTGGAGGCCCGCCACCTCAGTTAAAAGCCTGGCGGAAGAGCTCCGTCTTGAAGGCCCTGCGGGGACTGTAAATGGTCCCGCAGGGCCCTGATCTCATATGGGAGCTCATTCCACCAGGTGAGGCAAGACAGATGTCCTTGGGGCCGGGGACCACCAGGAGATGCTGATTTGCAGATCGTAAATTTCTCCGGGGCTCATAAGGGGAGAGGCGGTCTCGAAGATATGCCGTAAGAAGTCCTAGTTTAGGAAGGCCAGGAGTATCCTTGATGGGCCTCACTGCTGTCTCGAAGGTCCGGGCCAGTGTGTGAAAGAGCGCTTTGACCGTGCAAGGTTAATGCAGTGTGTGATTCTTGAGATCAGGTGGGCATGGTGCAGAAAACATGGACCCACAAGTACAGAATGGGGGACTGGGATTCTTAGAAGCCCCTTTGAGCCTTAGCAGCAGTTAAGAGTTGCAGCGGGCCTGGGAGGCGACTGTTTGCTTAACTGCAACTATCCACAGCACGTATTCAGAAACTTGTGCGTGCATGCACAGAAATGTATCACTCTCATGTTTATGCAGTTGCTCTACAGACAAGTGTGCATGCTTGCTTCCCACACATACGTCACCACGAGCAGGCTTATGAGCCTATGAAGCTCACTGAAGGATGGCGTGGCTGTAACTGTCTCCGTTTAACCCATCTCGCAAGGTTGATTTGTGACATGCAGGATTTTAATCCCAATTTTTGAATGAGCGCACATTTGTTAAATGAGCATTTCTAGAAATATTAGAACATGTGATGGCAAAAGAAATGACATTGGGATGATCTCATCTGTGCTTTTCTGAGCTCCTTCTGGGAAGGAGTGACAAACTTTTTTTTAATACAGTGTCCTCTACCTTTCTTCATTATGAAGGTACTTCCAGGCGGTCAGCCGTGCTGGTCTGAAGCAGTAGAACAAATTTAGAGTCCAGTGGGGCATCTTGAAGACCAACAAAGGTTTAGTCAAGGCATGAGCTTTCGTGAAAAAGTGTGCAGGCACACAAAAGCTCATACCTTGAAGAAACCTTTGTTGTGGGTCTTAAAGGTACCACCGGGCTCTAGATTTGTTCTGTTTCTTAATTATGGCGCATCATGCCCCAGACAGCTTTTGTTGCCTTTGACCGTTTTGGCTCGCATCGCTTTCCAGTTCCAGCTCTGTAACCCTGGTCCTACTGCACTGTTAATTGGAGGGCTTTGCTGTCTGATTGGATTGCTTCTCGTATTTTGTAATTGCCTTGAGTCTCTTTGAGACAGGCAGGCTATAAATGAAGTAGTAGTAGAAGCAATAATACATTTTATAAGAAGAAGAAGAAGAAGAAGAAGAGATTGGATTTATACCCCGCCCTTCACTTGGAGTCTCAGAGCGGCTTACAAACTCCTTTCTCTTCCCCTCCCCACAGCAGACACCCTGTGAGGTGGGCGGGGCTGAGAGAGCTCTGACACAAACTGCTCTTTTTCAAGGACAGCTGTGCCAGAGCTTGGGACTGACCCAAGGTCACATCAGCAGGTGCAAGTGGAGGAGTGGGGAATCAAACCCGGTTCTCCCAGATTAGAGTCCGCACACTTAACCACTACACCAAACTGATCTACTGGCAGTGTACGCACTATTGTGCTGGTCTCTGTGTGTAGGGTTGCCAACCTCCAGGTGGTGACTGGTGATCTCCTGGAATTATAGCTGATCTCCAGGCAATCAAGATCAGTTCACCGGGAGGAGATGGCTTTGGAGGATTTATGGAATAATATCCCTGCTTTCCCCAGACTCTTCCCCCCAAACCTCCAGGAATTTCCCAAACCACACCTGGCAACACTCTCTGTGTGCCAGGAATATGTGGGTTCACAATCGTTCAGGTGCACTAGTCTCTAATTTCTATAAAAAAACCAAACCCCAAATCTCAAGTGTCATTCAGAATATCAGAAAAGATATCCAAATGATATGCGACAAGTTAAATTGAAGCCCCGCATAACAAAACGGCATCTTCAAAATCTGCTGAACATAAATAGCCCAAGTTATTTTGTACACTCATCAATATTTGTGCATCGGCATGCATAGAGTACCGATAAAAGGCCAAATCTGAAATTGAATTAAACCTCAAGTGTGAGATCTGAAATCTGCTGTTTTGACATACTTCCCCAAACCCCACCTGCCAGTTTAGAGGCTGAGTAGGTTATTTGTGTGCGTGTGTGTGTGAGAGAGAGAGTGCTTGAAATATTTATATACAGGGCCTAGTTACTGCAGCTGCTCCAGCAATTGCTTTTTCACCCAGCAACATCCCCCATTAATTTTGGTCCGGCCCAGGAGAGCCATACCTTTCAGTGTGGTCCCAGGCCTCTCCAGCTCTGCGACAGACCTCTGCATTGCTTGTATTGCCAGGCAACCCCCTTTATACTTCTCCTTGTCTCTCCTTGCCTAGGCAGCCTGAGTCGGGCGGGCCCCATCCCAGCCATCCTGCGCCCGCCGCCCGCCATGATGCAGCCGCCCCTCGATCTCAAGCCTTTCCTCTCGTTCCCCATGGAGGCGCAGCCGGCTGTGGGCCTCTTCCCGGGTTTCAACACGGTAAGGCCGTGGCTGCTTCCGGCCCAGGAGGTGCAGGCTCGGGTAGGACTGTTTGTATAACTCCTCCCACTTTCCTCCTTCTCTTCCTCTGCTCCCCCCACCAGAGAAAAAGGGGCTTTGGCATGGACACCTGGCCCCTGGGAAAGCCAGATGAGGCACCCATGACACGTACATTGAAAGGGGCAGCGGGAGAACATTGGCCCTGGCAGTCTTAGCCAAAATCCCAGTTAGGGAGGCTGACTACACCTGCTCTCAGAGAGGGGCCATGGCTTAGTGGTAGAGCATCTGTTTGGCATGCAGAAGGTCCCAGGTTCTGTCCCAGGCATCGCCAGTTAAAAGGATCGGGTAGGAGGTGATGTGGATGACCCAGATTAGACCTGTACTAGCCCCATCTTGTCAGATCTTGAAAGCGAAGAAAAGTCAGCCCTGGTCAGTAGTTGGATGGGAGACCAGCAAGGAATACCAGGGTCATGAGGCAGGGGCAGGCAATGGCAAAGTACCTCTGGACATCTCTTGCCTTGAAAACTCTACAGGGTCACCCTAGGTCAGCTGTGGCCAATGCTCCCTCTAAGCTGCGGAGTCTTGCGAGCAAAAATTCTACTTTGTGAGCTGCTGGCATTAAAGTTGTGAGCGAGCGATTCGGCTACTGCATAAATTAGTTTGCGCTGGACTCGCAGTGTTCCCTCTAAGCTGAGTTAGTTTGAGCTAGCTCACAGTTTTTTAGCCTCCGGCTCACACATTTTTGTCTTGGCTCAGGAAGGATGGCTCCGGAGCAAATTATGCAGTAGCCAAATCGCTCGCTCACAACAACGTTAATGCCAGTAGCTCACAAAGTAGAATTTTTGCTCACAAGACTCCACAGCTTAGAGGGAGCATTGCTCCGGAGCCATCCTTCCTGAGCTAAGATAAAAAAATGTGTGAGCCAGAGGCTAAAAAACCTGTGAGTTAGCTCACACTAACTCAGCTTAGAGGGAACACTGGCTGTGAGTTGACGGCACTTTTTACCACCACCAGGAGGTGATGTGAAAGCCCTCAGCCTGAGACCCTGGAGAGCTATTGCCAGTTTGAGTTGACAGTATTGACTTTGATGGACCAAGGCTCTGATTCAGTATAATCTAGCTTCATGTGCATGAAAGGATACAGCACCTTCTTTCTTAGCAGGGTGAGTCCAAAAACTGGCTTACCCGGGGGGTTTACACACTTCAGTGGATTACCCTTTGGTAAATGGCCTGATTTAAGTGTGACACCAGCAAGGAAGTTCAAGTGCTTCTCTGTTAGCTCTGCCACAGGCTCCAAATCTCTTTTAAACCTTGCTTAGACCCATGCAGAGCAGCGACCTGGGCTTAGTTTGCATAGTGGAAATTGGTAGCCATTGCAGATCCTATGTAGCCCATGTAGCTAAACCCCAAACCCTGCGTAAAGTCACCAGGGAAGCCCTTTTTGCTTCTCTAGCCTTGTATTTACATTGGGTCAGTATGCATTTCACACAAGGGTAGAATAGGAGAGGTTGAGAGAGAGAACCTGGTAAGCATGCGGGGTTGGACTCAGTAGCAAAAGAAAAGAAAACCATTAGGCTGTTTTTGGAGTTTACTAGCTAGGCTGTTTTTGGAGTTTACTAGCTCTTATAGACCTTGAGACTGGCTACTGGCGAGAAGGCAGTTTTATAGGTCAAGCCAGTAAAAACGAATGCCTGATTGACCTCTGTATTGGAGAGGGCAGTAAAAGCAGAACCCCTCCATGTGCACAAATGGAGGAGATTGAGATGAATGCCTGTGAAGTGCTTAAACTTCTAGGGGTCCAATGCACTGAATAAATGCATCGTACCCCTAAAATTATAACTACTGAGGGGGCATGCCTTGACTTTCTTGCCACCTGCTGAGTTCTAGCATCTGCCTGGTGGAACAGCTCAAGAGCCACGACTGTTCCCAGATGGAACTGTGGTACCCTGGGCTTTTTCGGTCTTGTAGCTCCCTTCCTAGTGGTGCTAGGGGGAAAAACAGATCAGCCTTGGGGGCTTCCCCTGTGTGGTAGTATTTGGCCAGCTGGCTTGCATTAGAGCGCCCTCTGCTGGCTGGAGATTGAGATGGCCTGTGTAGCTGTGGGCCGGTGATGGTGTTTGTGTCCAGGTGAGATCCTTTTGTGGTTTATGGATTTATCTATATTTTAATCCAGCCTCTTCCCTCCTTCTTTGTAATCCAAATCTGAGTGACATCCACTCCAGACGGGGAAAATAAATGCAGATATGGAAGGATGCAAGCTTTAATCGGTAGGGTGAAGTGGGTAGATTAAAGCTGAAGGTTTAATCTCAGATAGGAGGAGAGGAGAAGCAGGGGTTGAGGAGGGAGAGGAGGCAGCCAGGAACAGGGCGACCTGCCCTCTCTGTTTTGCTGCTTTTTCACCCCGGAACCAGATCACTAGATGTTTGCTGCCAGGAAAGCTGGCTGGGGAAGGCAGGCAGTAGAAGAGTAAAATGCTCTTCCCCCTCCTTCCCATCACTTCTCTGCTGTGGACTGTACCTGCCGCTTTGCAGTTCTCCAGCAACCTGTGTCTACTTTGGTCCTCAAGGTGGGGCATAAAAACGCCTCGCAGGCACCTGGCTGGAGTTTTTCCTGTTGTGTTGCCAGACAACTATCAGCAGGGGGAGCAACTGTCCTTCGATGCCCTGTTGGTCTGGCAGGTGATGTCCAGCCACCTCGGGACCGTGTGGTCTGGCAGGTGATGTCCAGCCACCTCTGGGGACGGCGGCTGACCAGGCAAGGAAAACTTGACACTGAGGAAATTAGATTCAACTCTTTGGCCAAGTCCTTAAAAGGTTCAGCTCTGCAATGTGTCCTGTCTTTCCAACCAAAATCTACTTATGCTATACCTGATGTGAAATGTGTGTCTAAAACTGAAATCTGAATATTAAGACCGTACATCTTGAACTACCCGTTTTAAAAAATGATGTTGCCTGATTTTGAGAGCCTCCCCTTTCATGCTTCCTTTTCCTCTCCAGTGTTGCCAGCAACCACAGTCTGTCTCTCCCTCTTGCCAAGTTGACATTGTTACATAAGAGCTATCTCTACAGAATGCTTAATTTCTCCATGGCAGACCTCCTGAGGCCACCCCGCTGCTTTAGGACACCCCGGTCATAAGGACTTAATTGAATCCAAATCAGCTGGTGTAAAAATTATTCTTGCTAGAGACGTCGGTTAGGTGTTTGGAATAAGATGAGCTACTAACAGAACAATCCTAAGCGGGTCTACTCAGAAATAAGTCCCATTCTATTCAGTAGGTCTTGCTTCCAGGAAAGTATTCTCAGGATGGTACGGTTAGGCCAGTAACAGGCATCTTCTGGTGTTCCTTTCCGGGTCAGATCTGTTCAAGCATCTTCCCCCACACCCCACGTTTAAGCCAGATGTATTCCCCCTGGTGCTTGCATGGAGAAATCAGCTACTAATGTTTTCTAGGGGGTTTCAGATTTTATTGGAGACAGGATCCTGTAGCTTTTAAAAAGATGTCTGCAAGGGAGAGTTTTTGCGGGGGCAGCTTCTCCCCTCCCTCTAACAGTAGAATAGTAGAAAGCAGCAGCGCCTAAAATTTATCCTCTCTGCACATCTGTTAAAAATGCAAGAGCCCTGGCTTGGATGGAATATGGACATGTAACGTTTGGCTCATGTCGTTCCCCTAATGCAGGGGTGTCAAACAGGTGGCCTGGGGGCCAGGTGAGGCCCCCGGAGGGCTTCTATCAGGCCCGCTGTGGAACTGTCTGGCTTCTGCTTCTTCCAGTTCTGCTGCTGCTATGTCATTGTAGGTTTGCAGCTTACAGATACACACCTGAACAGCATACTCAAGATTGCAACAGCACAGACATTTTGATGTAATAATTCAGAGCAAGAGGTGTCAGTTATCAGACACTGTTAAATAAACAAAATATTGCAAGAGTGCTAATGTTTTAAGCATGTTTTTATTTTAAGTAAAAAAATAACCCTTTGTGTTTGTGTCCTTTATAAAGTTTATATCTTAGCTACCTGGCATTACATTTTATGACACACATGGCCTGGCCCAACAAGGTCTCATTTATGTCAGATCCGGCCCTCATAACAAATGAGTTCGACCCCCCTGCCCTAATGCTTGAGTAGCATTGGCTTTTTTCCTTTATGGTCTGTGTGTGCACTTAGCTTGTATATGCAATGTATATGTGGTCCCGAGAAGATGGGCATGTGACTTGCATGTTACAAGGAAACAGCATAGGTACACATAAGGATGCTGGCCTCCAGGTGGGACCTGGGGATCTCCTGGAGTTACAGCTCATCTCCAAACTACAGAGATCAGTTCTCCTGGAGAAAATGGAGGCTTTGGAGAGTGGAGTCTTTGGCATTGTACCCCACTGAGGTCTCCATCCTCCCCAGGCTCCACCCCCAAATCTCCAGGAGTTTCCCAATCTGGAGCTGGGAACCTTAACGGATCTAGCAACCCTAGGCACATATGAGGTGTATGATTTCCATTAATGTTTGAAATGGCCCTTTCATAAAAACTGAGTTGTCAAGGGCCACATTGGGTACCCATTCAGTGTGGGATGAGCATTCAGCCACTGGGCATCTTAGTTGTCCCCCCCCCCCCCTTCTGAATGAATGTCTGAGAGTGACAGGCCTCTCAAGTCAAAACAGTCTGCCTTTTGCAGTCCTGAATTTATTCTGGCTTGGATGTGAAGACATCGATTATGAGATCTCTGTCAATAAAAGCCGACGAGGTCCCATTCGTTTCCTTCTCCGTGTCCTTCCGCTGGCTTCTTCTGCTTTTCCAGATCAAATTGATCTCCTACATGGAGGCTCCTCTCTGAGCGACAAACAACACATTGTGCTGGAAAGCCCTTAGATTTCCTTTCTGGTTTTTACTTTTATGCAATTGCACATGTATCTCTGTGCATATGCAACGTCTCCTGGCTTGGATTGGAACAGCGAGGCTGCCATTCCAAATCTCTCTCTTTCTGTCTCAAGCCATTGTCGTAGTTGTTGTCC